TCCACCGCGGCGTTAAGGCCTCACACGTGTAAGACTCAAAGCAGAGTGTACCTGGTCAAATGTCTGTTTCTACTATTTCCATTTATTATTTCAGGATTTTACTCTGAAATGTTAACTGTACCGTACTTGTCCTAAATCTTGCCACTTATATATGATCAAACCTCCAACCTTGCCATTAGTAGATGACCTGCCCAAATCTCCTGAGACACATTTATGTACTTAGAGAATTTAGAGGCACTCTGAACAACCTGAAGATGCCCAGTGAGTCAAACGTCACCCAAGGTAGGCACAAATCTGTCAGTGGCACAAACACAAACAATGACTTCTTTTTTACACTCTAAAAAGTAACCAGGCCTTTTACCTCCACTTGATTAAATCCGTGGCTGCAACATAAAACTTCTAATTTATTGATTAAAATAGACCTTCCTAGTTGCAAACTTTCTTTTTTGGTTGTGTTGAATTAATAATGTTGGTAATTACATCAAATAAATTTTATTTGTAATTTCAAATTAAATCCCAATGTTAGTGGGTTCAAAATAAAATTCAAGTTGTAATTACTTAAAGAAATTGAATAGATAACTTATTTTATTTCCACTGTAACTTCTGATTTCAAGTTCCTACTTAACTAGCCCGGGCAGATTCACACATGGTGTGTTGCAGGTGGACTTGCAAGCTTTTGTAAAAGACATTTCGAGGTAAATAACATTTCATTTACAATAACAAGTCTAACAAAGCAAAGCATTTGTGCTAGTCACTCGTACTGGATGATGTGATGCTCATTCAGTTAAGGAGATATTTTGCACTACCACATGTAGCTAATGCTAGCCATTCTAAACTTCAGCACAGGAGAGGATAAGACTCATAAAGTTTCATTGGACAAAAGTCTTCAGCTAGAGAGTGCTGCTGTGGCTGCTGTGGCCAGGAAAAGCGTGGCTAAAGTTTTGCTACACAGTGCAATCTAATTTTGATCATAGGCTGATTTTGTTTTTCTTTTTACCAAAATTAGACGCCTTTAAGCTGTGAATAGTTTTGTCAGAGGATGACCTAGAGGCTTCTTTTCCCCCCTGGCTCACCTATTTTATGTCTTAAACTTGCATGACCTATATGTAAGATTACATTATAAATGATTTTGGTTACTATTGTGATGCAGCTTAAAGTAAGTATTGTTCTTGATCTTAGGAGCTGTTGCTATCTTTGTTTCTTTTTTGAAAAACAAAATCAGGTTGTGTGAAATATTGTTAATGTCATTCCAGTAGCATCATTCTGGCATAGGCTACGTGAATCTACTTAACATCAAGACTTTGTGTAAGCAGTTAGTATAGTGTGATAATCTAGGGTCATTAGTGCTGTGTTAAGTTGGGACACATTTTTTACAAAATGGGCTGGGAGTGAACCATGTGTAAATTCTAACCTCTAACCAGATGACACCATGGTTATGGTAAATGGACTGGTTCTTATATAGACAACTTGTACATTCACCCATTTGCACAAGCATATTCTTTCTTTCTTTAACTTTCTTTCTTAAACCGCTCTGACCAAAGTGTTCAATGACACATGTCTGAATACAGACAGTGGAAAAATGTCAGTCTTAGTTTTACTGGATCTCAGTGCAGCATTTGATACAGT